CAACCGCTGACACCAATACACCAACACTAACACACACAGACACCCGTAAAACCGCACACCCCTTAACACCCCACACACCTATTTTTTTCAAGAAACCGCAAAGTTTTAGAGGGTTGAAAAAAAAATGAAAGTTCTTAATAATAAAAAAATAAAAACAATAAACAAAAAATATATAAATATTAAAAATAATATTTGGGGAGCCTTAAGGGGGTGGTGCCCATGTGGTAGCTTCAAAAAAATGTCATTTTTTCACTCAACCTTGGGAAATATTGCTACGTCTTTTTAGCCACAAATGGCAGCCGCAAGATTTCATCTTTCTCGCTTGCACTCCCTTGCTCCCCCAACTCGCCCCATCTCGTTCTCGCCCTCATATACCTGTCTCGTTCGTTGGCTTACCAATTCCTGGTTAGCTAGAGGCTTGCCACAAAGCCGCGTCTCCAACGCTCTGACTTTTTCTTTATTTTTTTTTCTTTTCTGGTTTTTCTTATTTGATTTTTACTTTACTTTTGAGAAATTCCATTTTTTTTTGAGTCACTTCCAAGACGAAATTCTTTTGGGGGTTGAAAGGAAAAGAAAAATAAAAGAAAGGAAAATAAAAACAGTAAAGAAAATATACTGCCTTTGGTGGAAAAAAAAGCTCAAGAAGTTCTCGCCTCTCGTTCCCGCTCAGATAATGCCATCTCACTCTACTGGAAAACTCACTCCAGCACCAAGGTGCGCCCAAAAATTGAGTGCAATTTTTCTAAGTCCTCCTCTGTGTGTCTGTGGTGGGTTGGATTTTTTCCAAAAAACAAAAAAAAAATAAATATAATAATAAGGGGGTGGGGGGTACTGACTCAAGCACAGGGGTGGCGGAGGGTAGGGTATTGGGAGGGGGCGGTGCCAACTCGAAGACGTCGTTGCGGCCTTTCTGCTTGTGGTGTAGTTGACGTTTTCTGGTTTCGGTTTTCGGTTTTTGGTTTTCGGTTTACTTTTCCCCAAGATGCCAGGCAAAAGAAAAAAAACCTGAAAACCCAAAAACGTCGACTGCGACGCCAGCTGAGACGCCGACGCCGACTGCGCTGCAAAGTGGAAACCGCTGCTACTGGTTCTCGCGGTAAATGTTAAGCCAAAAAGAGGAGAGCCACCGAACCACCGAGCCACCAACAAAATCGGCAAAGACGGAAAAAATCCCAAGAAGGCTCTAAAGTCAAGCCCGGCTAAAAGGAATCACTCAAAGCTTTTGCTGGGTAAGTACTTCAAGTAAACAATAGAGAAGCTACTAGAGAAAATATTGGCCTGAGAAAATATTATTATTTTAGACTTTTTAGATCCATTCATTAGCCTTAAACATAAAAATAAATCATGTGAGTAAATATTTAAACACAGAATAAATAAATACATAATCGAAATAACTAAACAAATTTTTTAATACATTTTGTTACAGATAAAAGAAGAAGACTTTTGGAAAATGTTTTTTGTGTTTATATTAAAGTTCCCTTGAAATTCGGTAATTCGAAAATTTTGTATTAATAATCATAGAAATTGAATATATTAGAAAAACGAAAAGTATGTGCCCAGGAATATATTTTAATTTAATCAAGGTAAGTTAAAAATATTTTAAACTATTCTTTTAAACAAGTGTTTCCATAAAAAATATTGTAAAATCAAGTGCATTTTTTAATATTAATTTAAAAAGTTATTATTTATAATAAAATAAATATCATCATATCACAAATTTGTACAAAAACTAGTCATTCTTACTGTGAATGTAAAAAATAACTTTGTAAAAATTAAATTATATTTTTCAAAATATGTTTTTTTTTTTTATAAAATATTTATAGACTATATAGTCATTTATTTAGTCTTTACTGTATGTACCCCAAGAAGCTGAAGCGGCCAAGAAGCAGACATAGACGTTGTGCCTCTTGGGGGCGGGGTAATAACGTAGGACCGAGGGGTTGGCCTCCAGGGGGGGGAGTGCTCCGGATGGTGGGGGTTCGGGGGTTGGAGGTCGTAGGTTAGAGAGTGAAGGGTGAAGGGTGGACCCTGTTTCGTTTCTTTCGTTTTGTGATTATGATGAGGCGTCGCCTTCGTGAGACTTCGTTACTTGGATGCTGAGATGGTTGCTTCGTTTTTTTTTTGTTTGGATGGATGGAGGATGGGTGGAGGCTGTTGGGGGCAGAAGGTGGTGCCCTCTGCCTTCTGGTCGCTGCCGGCGCTGGCGTCGCTGTCGACGCTGGTGGTCGACGTTGCCAACCGCTCGTAGTGGTCGCGTTCATGGTTACCGCAAAAAAATAGTTTAATATCTCCGTGTCGTTTGATTCGATCGCCAGAATCCAGTCTCAGTCTCAGCCCCCGTATCTTTGTATCTTTTCATCTTAGTATTTTTGTATCTGTATCTGTGCCAGTGCATTACAGTGTGTTCGTGCGTGTGTGTGCTAAATGATGTGCAAGTGTGTGTTAGCCGACCAAACACATAATTATCATAATTAGAAAGCCCCAAAAAATTATTTTAAAAAAGTGGCACAATTTGCAACCTTTTTTTTTCAAGTGTTATGTGGCAGATCATTTTATAAAAATTAAAAATAAATATACTAATGAAATTTAAATTATAAAACAACAAAACAAATGCAAAAAATATAAACATTGATCAAGAAATGTAAGTTGGTGCATCAAAATAAAAACAAGAATTATATAAAACTTGTAAAGTATAGTGGGATCGTTTCTTTATTAATAAAAGAACATCAAATATTAAATATAAAAATTTTCTAAAAACGTAACATTATGTAACATTATGTAACATTAAAAAATATAAATTTTTAAAATTTTTTGAGAATATTTTGGTTTCTGAATTTATATTTTTATTGCGTTTAAATTTTATGTTTTTGCGATCATATTTTAGGGAACTTTTGGCAAAGATTCGATATCTTAAAATAAAAGAAAATAATTATTTTATAATCTACCTGCAACTAAAATTGTCTAGTTTTTAGTTTTTTGTGTAAAGGCCCTCTTAAAACCACTTTGTTGATCTAATTTTGTGGCTAACCAGTTCGACCGGCTTGTTTGTTAACCAATTATATAGACCCACTTCTGGCTCGATTCATTCTGGAATTCTTGTATCCTTGCAGCCCTGTATCCTCGTATCTGTGGCCACATGTGTCGCCACATAGTCGCTTGGCCGGCTTATTTCGTTGCCATCTGCGTTTAAAACATTAACATAAATAAAAACACACACACAAATACCATAATATATTTGAATACACACATAATCAGCGGAAGTTGTTAAAAAACTTCCATGTGTGTGAAAATAAAATAAAATATACATATTTTTGTAAAAGTATATATGGACTTTCATACTTTCTCCTACATTCCAAAAGAAGAAGGTTAAAGGATCACTTATTAGTTGAAGTTTTAAATACTCTTTATAGTCTTCAATAGGCTATAGGCAGTTAATATTCCTCCTTCAAAAACAAAAACTGATTCTATTTTTTTGATCAATTTAATTTTTTAACTTTTCCAAAAGAAGTTTTCTGTATTTTATTAAATGATCCATCAAATAGTTGATCTCTGTCTGCCCTTAATGACTTTTTTTTGCTTTATTTTTTATTGTTTAAACAAAAGCCAGAGAGCCAGGAGGGTATTGTTGATTTTTTGGTGGCCAACACACATACACTCCCACAAGCCGGCAACATCTGGCGTTTTCGATAATTTTCTCTTTTTTCCAGCCATTTGATGAACATTAAATGGAGTTTTGTGTATTTTTTTTTTTTTGTTTTCCATTCGATACGACACAGATGGCAGTCATGCATCTTAGTTGAGAAAACGAGGCTCAGTTCCTCCACTCCCTCATTATTGGTTATGATTTTTTAATATTTAATTGAGCTGCACTCGCCGATGGCGGCTTAAATGCAAATTGTGCGCAAAGGTGTGCGGTTCAGTTCGTTTCGTTTCGTTTGGTTTTCGGTTTGGTTGGGTTTGGTTTGGTTTTGGCCATGTTCCGGCAGAGATCTGTATACCTGGTCTGGGTGTCCTTTGTGCCTCAGGACTAAAGTGCAATAATAATTGAGCTCTTGCCTCGATGACAGCAATAAACATAAAAAAAAAATACAGAAAACTCGAAAAAATGCAGTGCGAGGACAAAAGTGCAGCATACTTATGCGGGCAGCAAATGTGAAAACAAAGAATAAAAAAAAGACAAAAGCGGTAATATCCCCAAAAAAAACTCCATTAAATGAAGAAAAAGAGTGAAATTATTGTTGTCCGCGTTCCCAGAAACATTTGCCTATAAAAACTGACAAAAATAATTAACAAATTTATGGCCTTTAATGTTTTAAAAACCAAACCAATGAGTTATTTGTTAAAGAAAAGTATTTTATTTTTATTGTTTAATTTTTTGTTTACCTTTATTAAAGTATTATTATTCTCTTTACTTTTTTTTCTTTAATTTTTTACTTAATGTTATTAATATATTGTAAAAAAAATTGTGTTTTTAAAAAGATATTAATTCTAAAATACCTCAAAAATATAAAATGACTATCCAATTTCTTGTGAAAATACTGTTTTAAGATTTCAAACAACTATGAGAAACTATTTATGTTTTTACATTTAATTTACAATTTTTTAACAGTATTTACTTAAAGTTAGGCCCAGTCTTTAGCTTTGTGTTTAGCTTTGAATATCAGATCCTCAGTATCTTTTGTTTAGTTTGAGTTTTTGACGAAATTTATTTCATGGTTTTATAGGAAACACATAAAAATTAATAAAATATTTATATTTTTGAGTCCTAGTCCCAATTAATAAAATCTCCAAGTCTTTTTTTATTGTCATTTAAAAGGGAAATTTTCATTTTTTGATCATGTAGTTTTATTTTTCATGAATCATATTGCGAAGTTTTGTTGTTATAACCAGGAACACCTTTGGCGCTTTTCCGGCATTTATTGCCATTGAATAAAAAAAAGACAGAAAGCAAAAAACAAAAGAAACCCCAATCGCAATCCACATTAATTTTCCAGATTGACCAAATGAGCTGACAATGATCGGATTGAAAGCGTCGACTCTTTGAGGCAGCAGGGGCATTGAAATCAAACCGAAAACCAAAAGCAGCACCAGCAGCAGGAGTAACACATCCTGATATACACATATATATTCTGAATTATTTCGTGAGTCAAAGCTGAAAACCAGAGAGAAGCCCTGAATACCTTGTTGCAAGGATAGCAGCTGCAATAATGCACATATCTGCTGAGGTCAGTTCGACCACCTCAAATCAAATACAGCAGCAACATCAGCAGCAGCAGCAACAGCAGCAACATCAGCAGCAACAGCAACATCAACAGTTGCAGCAGCAACATCAGCAAACAACAAATACCACAACGAAGCGACGCAATGCTGAGTCCTCTTCCAACAACAACAACAATAACAGTACTAACAACAAAAATAATAACAACAACAATAATAATAATAATAACAACAACACTACAAATAATAATAATAACAATAATAATAATAATAATAATGTTAAAACAAAACCCGTGGATACAAGTCCTTACCTGACGCCGGAGAATCTCATCGAAAGAACCGTCGATGTCCTTCTTGCCGAACATCCTGGCGAGCTGGTCAAGACGGGATCACCTCATGTGGTTAGTATATTATATGAATTTAAAAAATATAAAGATTTTATTATGAGAAATTATAAAGCTTTAAATATTGATTTTCATTTTAATTTTAAAAGAAAATCTTGAAAGATACAAGGATATGAAATAATTTATGATTTTCTTGTTGCTGTCTGAAGGTATTTTGTTCCCTGTTTTGATTTAAGAACTCTTTTAATCATAAAATTATAATAATATTACTATTTATAGGTCTGCACAACATTACCCACTCATTGGCGTTCGAATAAGACACTTCCGATCGCCTTTAAGGTCCTGGCATTGGGCGAGGTCATGGATGGGACAATAGTCACCATCCGGGCCGGTAATGATGAAAATTTCTGCGGAGAATTGAGAAATTGTACGGCGGTAATGAAGAATCAAGTGGCTAAGTTTAATGACTTGAGATTCGTGGGCCGAAGTGGAAGAGGTAAGTTATTTAGAAATTTGTACAAAAAAGACTACAAGTTTTTGATATATAGCTAAATTTTTGAGTATTAAGTTTTTAAAAGTCTCGATTCAACGAAAACGACTTTTTCAAATTCCTGGTAATTGATTTTAGGAACTTCTTGAAAGTTGTTTGAAGAAAACGATTTGAAGAAGAATTATTTTTAGATACATTTAAAGTATCAGGTATCAGGTATAGTCTTGAAGTCTAGGTATTGTTAATAACAGTCCATTTATAGTCTCAGAACAAATTATCAAACTTATTTCCCAACAGGAAGAAGTACCAAGTAGTGTCTATCGTATAGCCTAGATTTTAGAAACTTAAAAGTACCAGGTATCATTTAGTCTAAAGACCCAAAAAAACCATCACCCTCTTGTTTATTTTCCATCAATTTTTCATTTTTGGTCATTACGTATTTGGCGTATCATTCGCGTTGATTGCTAGCTTCCTCTTCGGCCGCTGTTCTACGCATATTGTCACACCAGGAATATCCTTATATCCTTATAGCCTTATATCTTTATAGACACTGGCCCAGAAGAAAGAAAAGTAGCGGCTTCCGGGCTGCGTCCTTTTTCTCTCTTATTCATTTTTTGCATCAACAAATAAGATAAGTAGTCTGTAGTTAATTTTTATATGTCTATTGGGGGACGTCCAGGAGCGAGGCCCTGCCAGCAGACGGCAGACAGTCTTGACAGTTGTCAATTTTGTTTGAGATTTTGGTTTTTTTTTGTGTTTTTTTTCTGTTGGCGCCGTTATTGCTGTTCATTTCGTCAATTTATCACGAACGCAATTTAAAAATCAAATCGAGGGTGACAGACAACATACTGTGATAGAATTTCGTCCTTCTCCACCATTTTGATTTTCTCTCATTTCGGTTTCTTCTCATCCATTTTTTTTTTTGGAAATTAAATCAGCGTAACTGTTTATTCAAATCCCCATCCGAAGGAAATAAGCGACGGCAACTTTTACTTTTTAGCCCAAAAAGTTATTTTTCTTTTCACGGCCCCCAGACATTTTCTTTTATTTTTTTTTTTTTTTGTGAGAAGGACTTGCGTTTTTTTTTTGGGGCATGTCTAAGTGCGCTTTGCCGCGGCATTTGACAATTTGCTCATTAAGTTTGTCTGACCCGGGGTCCTTAATTTTTTTTTGTTTTTCGTCACCCTCATCATCATCAGGTTCTGGCATCTTGGGGCTCCAGCATGTTTGACATTTTTAAACGTTTCAAGTGGCAAATAATTCCTTGGGATTTATACCAACCACTCCTTCCGAAAAATCTCTTCTGTTTTTTTTTTTGTTTTTGCTTACTAATTATCGCCAGAAAGGACGAAGGACGTGGGTGTGGGCGTGACAATTGCCAAAAGGCAGCATCAAATGTTCTACAAATGGATTTAAATTATTTAACCCAAAAAAGCGTATCGGTAGGAAAAGCTCCCCTCAACCCCTTGAGTTTTATTTTATTTTTCTCATTTTAATGCGCTACAAAAGGATTACGTGGGTCAAGTCCTTCCATCTCCCATCCCTTTCTATTTTTGTGGGTCCACCCTTCTCACCCTTTCTCCGGGGAGGTATCGTGTTTTATTTGCTTTAATTTCAATTAGCAAACAAATGCAAATCCCTTGTACTAGGAAAAGTAATGCAGAGTCCTGCAATTGTAATTGTTGTTCCTTGTTTTTTATTCAACTCTTAAAAAAAAAAATAAACAAATATATATATATATATTTAAGTATATAATTTAAATGTTTGTGCATGTACTTACCAACAACTAATGCCACTTGCAGTTGTCAAGGCTGCAGACACTCCACATTTTTGGTATGCAACAAAATTTATGAGAGCCCCCAGGATGAAAACCCTTTGCCAGCTAGTAATCCGCGGGGGGATGGGGTGATGAGGATGGGGGAGGATAGAGGCTGGAGTGGACGGGGAGGGCTCATTGATAGTCCTGTGAAAAGCATTTCATTATCACAATTGTAAGGGATACTCTGGTAATCAAGGGCCTTACCCAAAAACTTTACCGCTTGGGGGCTGAAAGTTGTTTGTATTTTTTGGCCAACTGGTAAGCGGAAGCTCGAAATTAAATTGGCTTTTTGGCGAATTACAAAATACAGGAGAAAGATTTCGATTTTTAAATAGTTTTAAATATCAAAAAGATTATACATATGTGTATATTTAAGATAAAGAGTTTTTTTTAGGAAAAGTTGTTGTCTTTTACTTTAAACGTTCTAATATTACTAAGACTAAAAAATAAAATAAAATATTTGTATTTTGTTGTTTTAAAAAGAGCTTAATTTAGTATGTTTTTTTTCTGTTAGTTAGTATTCTTTATTAAACTTATGTATTTTAATTTTATAAATCAAAATTCTTAATCAATATTTTAAAACTTTAATAACCAACCTTTTCACCCAATGGGGAGAGACTGTGGAGGCATCTCCCCTATTATAAGGAAGTAAGTGAGAGCTACTCATCAGATCACCTTCTCGTGCGTGGGAATGACTTTTGGCACCACCCCAATCCCCCAAACCCCAATCCCCCAATCCCCCCACTCGTGAAAAGTAGCCATACTCTCTCCTCCAACGGTGGAGACGGTGATCTTCCGCTCTCTCACATTAATTTCAGTCTCTCAGCTATTGCTGGAAATCAAGGATTAGTTTGTTTCGTGCTTTGAAGTCGTTCGGGCTTACAAAATATTTTATTTTATTTTATTTTATTTTTATTTTATTTTATTTTTTTTTGTAATATTTAGTGATTAATTGCGTTTAACAGCAGCGGGCTGGTTTCGTACGTTCGTTTGTTGTGTTTTTTGTTATTGTGATTTTGTGTCGGATTGTAGATTTAAATATTTATTTGTTTTAGAAACGGCTTAAGTCTCAAATAAATAGAAACCTTATATATTCGGTTACCTATGTTATATTAAATTCTATTTAATGTGAAAATATGTTTAATGAAATAAATTAAGTTATATGGAATTGGTGTGATGTCGTTAGAGTAACAAGTGCAAGAGTAACAGCTACTTGTTACTTTTTTTTTTTTATTTTATAAGAACTGTTTTATACTGTGTATATATCTTGTTCTTTATAAGAACATTAAAATTAGTTTTTAAAAGATTATTTACTAAATGAATTGGCTTTTTGAAATTAAGAGAAATATATAGAATATAAGTAAGTTTTTCTTAAATGTGGTCTTTTTTATTGTTTTTTTTTTGCATTTTTTTGGGTGTTTGTTGTGCGTTGAATTGACTCGTAATATTAAAGGTATGGACCGCGCGGCGTATGCGTAATATACAGAGGCATACCGAAGGAGATGAAGCGGGGATTTTCGCGTATTTCGTATTTCAAAATGGGGGCATGGTGGGGGCGTGACAGAATGGCAGATGGAGTGGAAGGAAGGCAGGGACGCAATTAGATAAAATGGCGGCATCAGCAGCTGCAATCGCAAATGCAACAGCAACGGCAACGGCAATGGGGCAACACTGCAGACATGCCGCTGTGGAAATGGAACTGCAGTTGCATTCAAGCGGAAACTGCATAATCCACCACTCACACAAATGCACTTCACACACACACACACACATATTCACTCACATAGAATATAAACACATGCATTGGAAATGCATTTGGTTGTTGTCTACTAATGAATTACAATCACTTGGATGCCATTTGGGGAATGAGGCTGTGATGGCTGGAAAGAGATTGCTTGGAGATGTGCAACAAAAAAGGTGCAGGCCCAGTAGAGGAGGTCGCACAGGAGGTCACAGAGGAGGTCACAAGGGTGTTGTCCAGCACACATACACACACATGTAATTATTGCCAGCATATGCATGTAAATGAGAGCCTGGCCATTCGCATTGATGTGCAAGCACTTTGAAGTGCATTACCAAAGTGCATTCGGAATACCATTGAAATACATACTTGCTGGGCATACCATACTGCCCAGGCCCAGTACGGCCTACAATGGCAAATGGCAGCTTCTAAGCTCCAGCTGCATTTGCGATAATATGTTAATTAACTGCAAGTGATTATGGCCTGTTTATTGCTCAGTTAAAACCCCCAAAACATACGCACCTCCCATTCTGACATCCATTCTGCCATCCCACCATCCCATCTCACATCGCTCCTCGTTCAAAGACCAAAAATGGTCGGGGTGTTGGCATTCTATCGGTAATCCCTTCGATTTACTCTAAAAGCAATATGTAATCATTCCAAAAAGCCTTTTTATAACTATGCTAAGGCTATGAGCTTGTATTTATTTAGGAGTTTTTGGGTTGGAATCTATCTACTGATCTAGGGATCTATTTGCGGATAATCTCCGCAAAGTGAATTTATGAAACAAAGAATAATAGATTTAGTTCTGAAAAATGTTACTAAAAATTTTATGACGATCTAGCTATTTATTATAGCACTATACTTACTTATAATACGATATAAGTACTAGATGCTTACTTCTAAACTATCCTGAAAAGTTATAAAGAAAAATCCATAATACATGATTATTTTATGGGGCTTTTTGAAATGGGGTTTTAATTATATATACTTATATTTTTAACTTGTTTCTTTATTTTTTTAAGAGTTTATAAGACGTATCTATGAATCTCTATATTTTCATAAAAATTTTCATACCAACTATCATCATAAATAAATTACAAATTAAAGCCAAATAACTAATTTCAGCGACTCTTTCAGCGGCTTTCGGTTGCCCTTTTGCCTGTGTTGTTTCAGTTTATTTAAGTTGCTCAGTTGCAGAGCTCCAGAGTTGCCGAGTTGCTGCCGAGAGTTGCTGAGTTCCGCTTCCGAGTTTCTTTAAAGCTTCCGGCATCCATTAAACTCCATTAAAAATTAAATATGCTCCCCAGCGTTGCGAAAAGGGGTGGGGCGGCTTTCTTTCTCTATGCCTTCCACTCTCTCTCCGACTCCGACTCTGAGTCTGCTTCTGTCTCCTTGATTGGTGGGCGTGGCAGTGCTCACTTTTTTGAACTATGTACCTTTTGA